TTGAGAGAAACATCAATTGTTGGAGTGCTCAGGTTAACGGGGAATCACAGAATCAAGAATCCCACTTACCCAGCTGAAAGCAAGAAAGCAACTTCCAATTGATTGGGGAAAAAAATTAATTGCAGCTTTAGAAAAATCTTTTCTCTGCAGTAGGGCTATGGGGCCATTGAAACCCAGGCGGCTTTGCAGGGCTCTCAGCAGTTTCCGCTATTCACGACTCGCAGGTGGCTGATAAATTTCCCAGGGTTTCTCAGTGCAGTGATTGCTCCTGGCTCTTTCAGCGTGGCTGCAGGAATCTATACAGGTCCACTTAAATCAGTCTGAAACTGTGAAAGGCTTCATCACTCGCCCCATGGACCCAGCCGCCCAAACAGAGCCCTGGGAGGGACGGCAGACGGGCTTAGGGCTGGGAGGACGGTACCAATTAAAAACCAGAGCCTATGGGCCTTTCTCTTCCTCATTTTCATTCCTACAGCTATATTGTGTCCACTGGCAGCAGATTCCAAAGGCAAGACACCACATCTACCTCCCAGAGCTTTAGAGCCGCCATTCCCAAACTAGGCTAATTAAACATGTGGTTCTCTTCCAGGCTGCCCTTGGGGAAGAGCAAATATGGAAGGCTTGTGTTGTGCACGCAAGGATTGGTCCCCTGTAGACCATCCATGAGCATCTAGAGGAAACAGGGCCTCATCTATGAGCACCTAGAGGAAACAGGGCACCATCCATGAGCACTTAGAGGGAACAGGATCCCATCCATGAGCATCTAGATGAAATAGGGCCCCATCCATGAGTACCTAGAGGAAATAGGGCCCCATCCATGAGCACTTAGAGGGAACAGGATCCCATCCATGAGCATCTAGATGAAATAGGGCCCCATCCATGAGTACCTAGAGGAAATAGGGCCCCATCCATGAGCACCTAGAGGAAATAGGGCCCCATCCATGAGCACTTAGAGGGAATAGGGCCCCATCCATGAGCATCTAGATGAAATAGGGCCCCATCCATGAGTACCTAGAGGAAATAGGGCCCCATCCATGAGCACTTAGAGGGAATAGGGCCCCATCCATGAGCACTTAGAGGGAATAGGGCCCCATCCATGAGCATCCAGAGGAAACAGGGCTCCATCTATGAGCATCTAGAGGAAATAGGGCCCCATCTCGGCATCTGCCTTGGAAAAGGCTGACCCCTTTGGTCTCTGGAATATTCTAGTGTTCTGTGTATGTTAGAAGGCCTCCAAACCTGCTAGGAAAGATGGGTCAAACCTGGCAGCAATGGAAATGGAGGTGGAGGAGAGGAGGTTGTGGGTCAGCCTGCAGCTCACACAGCCTTGCTCCAGGGATGACATGACTCAGGTGAATTCACCACCCAGTTCGTAGTCCCAGGGCAACTGGTGGACAGCAAGTCAGCTGGCCGAAGGTTGCTATCAAGACAGTCATAGTTGGGGTAAGAGAGGACCCAGGCCTGGCCACTTTGCAGCTGTTTATCCTGAGCCTGGTCACTCAGCCTCTCTAAGTCTGTGTCCTCAAGTGGAAAATAGCAAGAAGGAAAGCTCACCATGTATTACGCATGTACCATGGTAGCCCTCACCCAGTGACAGTTAAGACTGCGACTACTAATCAAATTACCAGTGGTGGAGCCAGCAGGTGGCATGGTGGATAAGACGCTCAACTCCTTCATGGCCAACTTGTTTTGAGTCCTGGACTGAGGCTTGAAAATCATGCAGGGTACACAGGTATGTATGCATGTGTGCCCAAAATCCCGGGAGGAGAATGGACTGCAAAGTGGTCACCCCCTCACCCCTGGGTTGGTTTCTCACTTTCCCTGTCACCGTCGCTCTCCAGTGAGTGCACACACTCTATGGCAAAAACCTACCAAAAAGGAAAAAGCCAGGAGCAGCAACCTCTTCAGATGCTTTGCCAGCAAACCGAGGGGCTTTGGTTCTTCAAGGCAAGTTAGAACCCCAGAGACAGGACTGGGGGCATTTACTGCCCTCCCTCTTCCCTTCTCTTTAGAATTCCAGGACAGCTCCTAGCCCAGAAATGGATGAAGATGTGGGTGGCAACTCTGTTCTTTTAGCAAAATGCACATTAATTCCAGCTGACCTGCCTGGCACTGAGCAACCCTTCTCCAAATTAACAGGGTATCTGAGCTGCTGAACACATGATCCCCCCAGCAGGAAGAGTCGCAGAAATGCACTTCTCAAACATTTTTGCCACAGAGAGGCCTGGGAGGTGACTTCCCTGACTTGCTCAGAGAGTTTTGGAATGTTGGTTTCCCAGATGGCTGTGGACAGAGGCTCCACAAAGTCCACAAACTTGACATGAGAGGGCAGGTGGGTCCTGAGTGCAGCAATAGTGATGGGAATTAAAGAGGGAGGCAGAAGAGGGCCACCTGGGGCGGGGGGCTTCTCCAGCTAGAGCCTCTCCTGGCCTGAAAGACTGAAGACAGAGGAGGTGGTTTGTCAGTCTCTCTACCACAAGACCCACCCATTGCCCAGAATATCTGCCCCCCAAGTAGTTGAGGGTTACTCCTAAATGCATCCACAATCCTGAGGGGACTATCTTTTACTGTCTCTGGAATGCTAGAAAAGGGAGCCCCACGAGTGTCACTTGCAGACAGAAGCCAGACCCACAAGGCAATGACTGCCTACAGTGATCACCTGCCATGGAGGCAGCTGCAGAGTAATAACTGGGCTCAGCCTCAAAGGCAGGGGGTGTCCCAGGTTGCCCACAACCGTGCAAGGAGCTGACCTGAGCCAAGGGCAGCTCAGGATCTCCCTGGAGACCACAGTAGTACAGGGCAGACCTGGCCATTACTTCCACTGTCTGAGCAGACCTTGTATGTGTCCTTTTGACCTCTTCTAAATAAAATAGCTAGAATATTGATCCACTTCCTTCTTTTTTAAATTTTTAAAATTAAAACTTGAAAGCAATAATATGGGACCAGCAGATGGAGTAATGGTTATGTCGCTGAACTCCCACGTAGTAGACCATGGTTTGAGTCCTAGACCTGGCGGCTTAAAGCTCATGCTGGGCATGTGTGAGTGTATACCCAAAATCCCAAGGGGAAAATGGAGAAGGGATTGCAGCTGGCCATCCCCCATCCCGGGGGAGGGTGATTTCTTGCTTTCTATCTCTCTGTCTCTTCAGCAAGAGCACACACCCTATAGCAAAAATCTCTCCAAAAAATTGTTTTTGAGAGCAATAATAAAAATAACACTATCTAACCATGTGCTTCCTAGACCCTGAGGAGAGATACAAAATTTTAACCCCTAAAACAGGCTCCAAGGACCACAGAGAGGCCTGAATTGGCAACAGTGCTGACCCCCATTCCAATGACAGCCTTTACAGTCTCCATCCTGTGGGTGTGTGTTGGGGAGTGGAGTGGGGTGGGGCAGCAGTAGATAAAGGACCGAAGGCAGACAGGTGATGGTAAATCGAGTAGGGCTTTACTTTGGCAAACAGGCGGTTGCTAAGATCCTTCCAAGAATCCTAAAATCCTGATTAATGGGTTAGATGGCTTTGTGCTTTGGCAGTGGGACTCGGGCACCTGTTGTTATGAAAAGCAGCATGGCACATTGCTGGTGGCTGTCTGGCAAAACGCCGGCTCGCCTGGGCGCATTGGGGAGACTCAGGGGAGACTATCATCACTGAGGAGCTGGCAGAAGTGGGCCAAGAACCACTGGACAGTTTCACCATCCTTCCCAGCAACTGGGGACACGGACTTAGAGATGGAGAGGACAGAAAATGTAGGGTAATGAAGATTAAAAACCTAATCTCAGGGGGCAGCAGGTCCCATAGCACATCTGTGTCTACAAGTAACAAGATGCTCTGCTATGTGGCAACACCCCCATCCCCACCCCATAAGGCCTTTGAACCAAGTTAGCTGAGAAGGTATCTCTCCTCTGCCACTGCCCAATCTAGAAAGACTAGACTTTTTGTTTGGGGCCAGACAGGTAGCAGCGCCTCAGGGACTGCAGCCAACAAGGAGGTAAAGGTCCTTCACTTCAGTCAGTGTTTCTTGACTATGTTGGCCCTAGGTGACTATCACCTGTCATGACTGAGGATGGAGGGGCTTTGGACATCTAGTGGGTGGAGGCAGGGATCCTATGTAGGACAGCACAAAGAACTACAAGCCCCCAATGGCAATAGCATGAGGCTGAGAAACTCCATCTAGTCTTTTAAAAATATTTTTTAAAAGAACTATTTATTTATTATTATTTTTCAATTTGCTATAGGGCACATGCACTCTCCAGAGAGAGACAGACAGAGAGAGAGAGAGAGAGAGAAAGTGAGAGAACAACCTGCCAGGTCTGGGACTTGAACCACAGTCAGCCATATAGGAGTCCAGTGCCTTAACCACTGTGCCACCTGCTGGCCCCATCCATCTAGTCTTAACATTAGAGCATTTCCTCCCTCTGATCACCCTTGGAAGTGTAGTTTTCTCTCTTTTAGGGATTTACTGCATGCTTTAAAGAACGTTCCCAGTATGGCTTCAGTGTAGACTAGCTCTATTTGCTCTGGCTTATCAGACTCAAATATGTTTCCCAGGCCTCTAATGCCACAGGAGATGAAAGAAGAAGCATATAAAGAATCCTAGGACAAGGGACTACTACATGGCATGGTGGTTAAGACGCTGGGTTCTCAAATAGCCAAACATGGTTCGAGTCCTGAACCTGGTGGCTTGAAAATCACACCAGGGGTTTGTGTGTGTGCATGCCCAAAATCCTGAGAAGAAAATAGAGGAGAAGAGATTGCAGCATGGTCATGGGTGGTGATTTCTCACTTTTCCTCTGTCTCTATCTCTCTTTGGCGAGTATGCATACCCTACAGCAAAAACCTAAAAAAAAAAAAAAGAAAAAGAAAAGAATTCTAGGACGAGAGCACTTGAGTGTGGGAGGCAGTGTGGTGGGGGGCGATCACCGTGAGATCTAGAGGTGAGGCTCAAGTGCCATCCTCCATCCCGGCCCCTGTTGCCCACTCAATTGGCCTGGCCAAGCCATGATCAAGGAGATCTTCATCTTCAACAACCATAACAAGCCATGGTTCTCCAAGTTTTACCAGCAATTCAGTGAAGATACAAAACAGCAAATCATCGGGGAGACTTTCCATTTGGTATCTAAGAGAGGTGAAAATGTTTGTAATTTCCTAGAAGGAGGATTATTATTATTATTATTATTTTTGGAGAGGTCTCTGCTATAGGGCACATGTGCTCGCCAGAAAGACGGAGAGATAGAAAGCGAGAAATCTCCCCCCAGGGGGGATTGCCATGCCACAGTCCTTCTCCTCCATTCTCCTCTTGGGATCTTAGGCACTCACACACACGCGCCTGGCGTGAGTTTAAGCTACCGGTTCCAGGACTTGAACCATGGTCGGCTACATCGGAGTTCAGCGACATAACCATTACGTTAACTGCTACTCCCCAAGGAGGATTATTAACTGGACAACCTGACAACAAAAGAGAAACTATGCGATGCTACATTTTGTGTTCTGTGTGGATTCTTCAGAAAGTGAACTTGGCATTTTAGATCTTATTCAAGTATTTGTGGAAACATTAGACAAGTGTTTTGAAAACATCTGTGAACTGGAATTGATTTTCCATGTAGACAAGGGTCACAATATTCTTGCAGAAATGGTGATGAGGGGAATGGTATTAGGCACGAACATGAATGAGACTGTTATACAAACTGATGCACAAAGTAAACTGGAGAGATCTGAGGCTGGCTTAGCAGGTGCTCCAGCCTGTGCTGTCTCAGCTGTAAAGAACAGGACTCTTCCTGGGACCAGCAGTTAGCGTAATGGCTATGTCGCTGGACTCCCACATAGTCAACCGCGGTTCGTGTCCCGG